ACGAAATGTCTCATTCATAAATCCATACATAAACACATTGATGCACGTTGTACACATTGCCAAAGCGTGAAATATATGGTAGAGTAAGCTGAAATGTTTATTATTAATAATGTCAAAACTAAAATCTGACGTCAGAAACCAAATGTTCAAAGGCAGCCATCCAATGGCGAATACTATTATCACAGACACTAACATTTTCGTCATTTTCAATTTTTTCTTCATATCCGATGCGTGTTGGTTTTCTGTTCTGACGCCCGGTACTACTCTATTGTTGACATGTATCAATATCCTTGTATACAGAACACCAATAATAACAAGTGGTAGAACACACTGTAGTAGAAACATAAATATATCGTATATAGTCTTAGCGTAATGGGTCTCCCATTGTTCAGAACATATAACTTTTTTAAAAATTCCTGTCACTTCTATAACCTCACGCTTAGTGAACATCCCTAACGGGACAGCAAGGATAATAGCCACTAACCAAATAATAATAATGATAATGATGCAATTGCTCGTCGAAAGTCGCTTCTTCATCGGGTGTACTATGACGTAATACCGACTGATGGCAATGGCAGTTAATGAAGCGGACGATACACATACAGATATTATCCGTAATGCTGGCACAACTCCACAAATAATGTCTCCGAATTCCATGTTCTCCTGAAAGGAATAAGTCAGCGAGAAAGGCAGACACACAGCAGTCATAATTATATCGCTAAACGCAATATTACCAATCATAATATACGTTGGTCTGTGCATTTTCTTGCTTCGCGCTATGCTGGCAATGATCAGAAGGTTTCCAAGTACTCCTACAATAATTATAATAGTATTGATAGCGATGATTATACTTGTGATAGCTGCATTCTGATGAGTATCTTCGAGATAATAACTATTGAGGAAATCGAAATATTCATAGATGTCATCAAAGTGATGATTTGGAAAGTCTGTACCAAACGTTTCAAAATATGAGCTCTTTTCTATTTCCACTAACGTGGTAGGTTCCATAGCTGCTCGGAGAACTGCAAAGACAGGAAATGAATAGCGTGTTGCCAATAATGAGCCATACTCTAAACACTTTGAGATATCACATACATTTCGACAGAAAAAGTATCATTACTGCATAAGTTACTCGTATGCTAATAAACGCGTTTCCGCCGGAAACAAACGGGTAAACAACAGTGCATAAATAGTTGAGTGATTGTTTAACGCTCAATTTCATGGTTATCAATGTTGTATTTGAAATGCATCATATAAGATAGATGTTTGACTGAAGCAAAATAAGGAAGTATGCAGTGAAAGAAAATTTAATTTGTCAATGGTCATCCATTGTTATTAGTCTAAACGACCATAATTTCTTATCGATGAATCAATGCCTTTGTTTTGAGTTCTCAATCATTGATTGTGCGCCATGGAACACAATTGTAAAGAGAAAAATTGAGCTGTAATATCAAATATAGGCACTACCTTATTTACTTGTGCACAACTCCATTTGGACATCGAATGATGGCAAACATTTATTTGTGAAATCAAAAATTACATTTTACTACGATCAACGAATATGCTGTACCTCACTAGTCGCCGCTATGTTGAATAATTCCTTATGAGTATTACAAATATAATGTCAAAATAAGGTCATCAAGATATAACAGTTTAGTTTAGAAGAGGTGGATCAATAGTTAAATTGTTCCTTACCTGACTGATTGTATACACACTTTACTGTGTGTCACTCCCCTTGTTGTATCAACACTTACACATAACCGTTACGGGTTTTATAAACACTTCCATCAGACGGTTCCATTGCTAGACAGGAAGGACACATTATAATATGCTTGCATATGTTTTCGTCAATTGCCTTATCATCATCTGACATCACGTAGATCTATTGTGTTAATATCGTCTGACGTCACATTCTCGATAAATATGCATGGTCTAATAATGTATTTAACTATGTATTGTGTATATCTCGGTGTTATGTTTCTAGTATTCAAGTTGTAGATTGGCACTACGGGTGATTGTTATTTTTATATTTACTCCCGCTAATATGCTTCTTTCTTATTATCTCAAAACATAACATACACGCAATCGTCGTATATTTCAGAATTGCGTTTTTTAAGCAGGCACTTAATCTTACGCTATTTTGATATGACTAATTAATGCC